CTCGACACTTCATTATCGTGATCAGCCACAAGAAGTAACCTCCTGTCTTAGGCCGCGCCATAGCTCAAGCGGTTAGTCGCTGGCTTCCCACCGCGGCGGCCCGGGTTCGATCCCGGGGTCTGGTCAAGTGGGATTTGTGGTTGACAAAGTGGCGCTGGGAAATGTTTTCTCCGAGTACTTCGGTTTCCCCTGCCAATCTTCATTCCACCAAATTCTCCATCATCATAATCACACGGGGCAGGTACAATAGGAAAATCAGTGGCCGCCGTGCCGAGTGGACCCAGCTGGACTCCACCCCCCACTAAGCGAATTAAAAAGAAAAAAAAAACTCCTGCCCTGACCTTGTATCTGCTGCTTTAATCCCGCGACATCACCGGTTTGTTCAACTTGATTGAGTTCATTTTACGTAATTACGTAAGACTTTGCACCGTCTGACGCTGGCTGTTACGGTGTACAGTCCCTTCCACAATTTTTATTTACTTTTCACTATTTACAGTTCACCTTCTCCCCATATTATGTTCCTACTGACGTCTGCGTAGGTATTTTCGTATATTCCTTATACACGTCATGTTTGTAAAGTGCATCTGTTTATATATGGCAATTCCTCATCTGTGTTTAGCCACATCGGTGCACAAAATTATTCTCCCTTTCTTGCGTTTTCTGAACATCTCAGTAGTAATATATTTTGCCTTTGGTCGTTCTTTTCCTTATCCCTCTTAGTTTGCAAAATCCTGCTTTCATTCCTTCCAATTCTGCTACAGCTTTCAGTGCATTCTTCCTTACTTCTTTTAAGTTCCACATCTGGGTTAAAAAGAATAATGAAAATTGTTCGAACATATTCGAAAATAAATTTTATCTCTGTGTATCGTTTGACGGACCGCCTCTATGGTCTAGTAGTCAGACTTCCTGCCTACAGATCCAGAGGTACCGGGTTCGATTCCCGAAACTACCAGATTTTCTGAGTAGTGGGTCTGGAACGGGGTCCACTCAGCCTTGCGAGGATAATTGAGGAGTTATTTCAATATTTCAAGTAGAGGCTGCGGTCTAGAAAACTGGGATTAACGGCCGTGGGGATGCGTTGCGCTGACCATGTGACACCATCTATCCGCTAAAGGTGGCACTAACTTCGCCGACAAGGGGCGGTCGTTCGGTCGGTATAGTTCACTTGCAGACTACAGGCCAAGAAGTTTGGTTTTTTGTATCGTTTCATTATTCTGGAAGTGAAGGATTCATAGTCGAGTCTCCTAAAATACTACATTTTTTAGTTACACTATATTTTATTCGTTTTCTTTGGATGAGGTGAGACTGAGTCAACTTGGTACGTCGCCCACTAATTCGCCTAGTGTACCAGCCCCGGATGATAGATGATTATGTGTGTGGAGCAGTCGGTGGAATGAGAATTCGCAGGGAAACCGAAGTACTCGGAGAAAACCTGCCCAAGTGCAACTTTCTCCACTACAAATCTCACATAACCTGACCTGATCTGGACTCGAACACTAGCCACCGCGGTGGGAAGCCGGCGACTAACCGTCTGAGCTATGGCACGGCCAAAACACTACCTTGGTGCATTCCGTCTCACGAATGAGGTTCTGATGACCGAGAGATGGCTTTACAACTGGCATTGAGGAAATTAAAGAAAAAAAAATATGGTTAAGTTTATTGTCAGCTTTACAGCTATAGGTTTTTATTTCTATAATGTGCTAACAGGCCGGTCACGGTAGCCGAGCGGTCTAAGGCATGTACTGTCTTCGCTCGCTCGGAAGCCGAGATCGTGGGTTCGAATCCCACTCAGGGCATGGATGTTTAGTTTGTGTGTGCGCGTTTTTCCGTGTTTGTGTACAGGTAGAGGCCTTGCGACGAGCTGATCACCCGCCCAAGGAGTCCTACCGAATGTGTAAGATCTAGAAAAACCGAAGTGAACGGAGAAGTTCATGGAAGGCCTAGGCCCACTGGGGCTGTAGTGCCAAGGGAAAAAAAAGTGCTAAGTCACAAGTAGCTACTACATTTGAATTGACTGTAACCTACTTAACTACCAGGTGCAATGTTAAGACGTCATGGTCAGTAAGCCTACTTCTGCTACGGAGGAAATGTCAGAGACAATAGTTACTTGTTAGTTTTACTATACATCAGCGTCTTCAATCGATTCCGTGATGAACTGACAAGTCTGAGTAACCAGCTCACGTGACTCGACCTCTCAAACCCATTAATTCACAGGTCAGGTAATAATAATGACAATAAGAGGACAATCTATTAGCGTGGTAGCGTTCCCAGCGTTTCTTTACGATACTGAATTCTGGACCGTAGACAAACAGAATCACAGATGCATGACGCAAAATATGAATGAAAGAAATACAATAGATCACCAGGTGCCGATCACAGTGGCCGCGCCCTCTAAGGCATGAAATGTCCTCGCCCGCTCTACCACTGGGATCGTGGATTCGAATCCCACTCGAGGCATGGATGTCTGCGTTTGCGTTGCCCTGTACAATTAGTGGCATTACGTCGGGCTGATCCCCCGTCCAGGGAGTCTTACGAACTGTCTATAAGATTCACAGTTTCAGAATTAATTCTGAATGGGAACAGGCCAGAGAGCCTGATCCGTCAAGGTAGAAGACGAAGAAGAAGACGAAGATGAAGAAGAAGAATCAACAGATTTTGGAAGAAAAAAGACAGACTTTGTATTGGTCAGAATATTGGACTAAAAACGAATGGATTTACCTCAATGACGGGACACAGACGCTTGTACTTTCCAAATTAATGACGTCATCCATCCCAAATGTAACAAGAAACAAAGGATGACTGTTCAAGACAACTGAGGTTGGAACGGGATAACATCTGGACTACTTCCTTGACGGGAACACGACATTATTATATTTGCAGCTTGTACCACGTCTGAGCAGGCTTGTCATATTTTCGTCCAGTTTCAGACGTTTCAGAAGCATCAAGATTAATGAAGGTGTACATTTAAATCGGACTTTTTTTTGCAGTTTTGCTTGTGTGGTCTGTTAACTGCAGGTTGACGATGGTGTCTGAACTGGTGACACGTGACTACAGCGGGGATTTGGATTGGTAATGGAATTTATTGAACACCTTCAGAACGTAACTACAAGTAACTATAACGTTATCGCTAATTCACAAACTCTGCAGTTCACTACAACGTACACTAAGTTTTCTAAGCCTTTATCGGTTGTCTGGAAACGGCTTCCTACGCTGTAGTTCCCTCAGGGCTCCGGTTCTGGCTGGCGACCATATCTCAGCTAACTCGGCGTTGCTATGCAACGACTTACAAAAATGGGAGCTCCTTCGCCTCCCACGCCTCCACCAGCGACGACTTTCTGCTAAGACCTCCGACGGGTCTGTCTCCCAGCTGCTAACTGCATCTAGGCTCAGTCAGATTCTCTCTAAGGCTCAGATATTGCTTCAGTTAAAGTCACGGTCACGTTACGATCGATGGTCAGTCGCTCAGTGAGTCTCAGTATCAAGTCCCATCTGGAGCCCAAGACGAGATTTTTATTACTGTTAGACACTTGCGGTTTTGTCGATGTGGGACACCCTCTCTGACGAGAGGGCGGGTGTGTCATTTACCGCAGTCAAAATCAGTAATACACGTCATATAAATTTACATTTTTAATGTAGTCAAAGTCAAAGTTACTTTACGACTGGCAGTTTGCCGCCAATCACTTCGACTTGGCGTCATTCCCCTTAAGACTCAAGATCAGAGATATTTTTTCAACCCTTGCGGTCATAGTCCTTATGTAACATTCTCTCTGATCAGATGATGGGGTTTTCTCTAATTAGTATGCCTGGCCTTTCGTCAAGTGTACGTGCCGTACATATAACATGTTATTGAAATTTCTTCCTTGTGCACTATACGTGTACACAAGTCCTCTGTCAGTACAGGCTTTGCAAGTCAAAGTCACATTGCGACTGCCAGTCAGTAAGTCTTGGTGTCGAACCCCATCTGAAGCTAATGACCAGATATTTATTACTGTTTCACAGTTCTGGTCTTCTTTTTGTTGGGCGCCCTCTCTGACGAGAGGATGTATATGCTGCTGGTCCTTGCCAGAGCAGTCTTTCTCGGGTCCGACTACCTTGAGACTCGCGACAATATTTTACTGTCTCGGATTTGAGACTTCCCTTTTCGTCGCCTCCTACGACTAGCAGGGTGTACAATCGTTAAAGGGCTAATGCTATGTTAGGCGAGTCCCTTGTCACCACGGCATGTCGCGTTCTCAGGTTGCGGATGGAGAAGCCGTCCAGGTATGGAGGGAAGCTGCAAATATATTGAATAAGCAGTCGCGGACAGCCGTCAAGGGGCAGTCCTCCAGCTTGTGGGTTGGGCCAAAAGCTCCTCACCGTAAAAGATAATCGTGTTACGAAAATGTTCACAAAGAGGTTTAGTGACGGCAGATTGCAGAAAACTGCATAAAGAGGAGCTTCATTAAGTTGTACGCTTCTCCAAGTATAATTATAACGATCAAATCAAGGAAGATGAGGTGGGCAGGGCATGTAGCACGAATGGGGAAGCGGAGAAATGCATATAAGATATCGGTGGGAAAGCCGGAAGGAGAGCACTGGAAATATCAAGGCGTAGGTGGGTGGACATTATTAAAATGGATCTCAGAGAGATTGGATTGTATGGTATGGATTGGATTGGTCTGGCTTAGGATAGGAACCGCTGGAGGGCCCTTGTGAAGACGGTAATGAACCTTCGGGTTCCATAAAACATTCGGAAGTTCTTGAGTAGCTGCATAACTTGCAGCTTATCAAGAAGGGCTCAGCTGCATGAGTGAGTGAAAGAGTTAATGAAGCTCTTCCGACCCGGCATTCTGGCATAACCATTAGATCTAGCTAGTATGTAGTTCAGATGCATAAATTACATCTGAGCTTATTTTAAGTTTTCATTTGAACTGCTTGTTGCAGAAGAGTCGAAAATAAACAGTGCAGTCACGTCCACCGTTGGTCTACCCACTGGTATATGTTATGGTCTGGATACTTACCCCTGAGAACGTCAGCGGGGATTAGACGTCGGAAGGTCTTGGGCCTCTCAGTGGCGGTAGCATCCTTTTTGTCCTCTGCTGCGGACACAGCCACGGCCAAGACAGCCACAGACAAACACAGGAAGAACTTCATGGTCTGCAAGCAAGGAGCAGTCACCTTATCAATATACACACAAGTGGGGGTAGCAGTGTGGAGACAACCACTCCTGAAGGACACATACAGCTTTGTGGCTGCGGTCAGCACTTCCGGCAAGGAGGAAGAGACAACTCTCAAGTTTGAATTCAATCGGTTTAGGCTCTAAAATGAGCTATGTCTTCTGGGATATAACGCCGTGTAGTCAAGTGAAAGTCAACCGAAGTTCTGCAAGAATATATGACCTCCATCTTCAGAGTCTAATAGTAAATCAAAGAAGGAAACTGCATGAGCAGGCAGCAAGCACAGCAAGAAGTACACTGCTTTATATCCCAGTAGACAAAACTCGTCATAGCTGTGAGAATTACAAATTCAGTCCAGTTTCTAATCTTCATTTTCCAGTCGTCTTGTTTAATGTGTGGATAGAGGCGGTAGCTCAGTGCAATAGGATCGACTTTGAATTCGTCGGCCAATGAAACAGAATTCCTCCTCCGTGGCCATTAGTCCACAAGCGAACTATACCGACCGAGCGACCGCCGCTTGTCGGCGAAGTTAGTGTCAACTTCTGCGGATAGAGGGTGACGCGTGGACAGCGCAACGGATCCCCACGACCGTTAATCTCGGTTTTCTAGACCGGAGCCGCTGTTTCCCTGAAATAGCGCCTCAATTATCCTCACGGGGCTGAGTGGATCCCGTTTCAGACCCATTACTTCTCAGAAAATCTATTATCGCCGGGAATCGAATCCGGGACCTCTGGATCTGTAGCCAGGAATTCTGGCCATTAGACCATAGAGACGGGTACCTCCTTAACTACAATAAATTAATATTCATGAGGAATGTTTTCTTAGCATCATATTGTGTGTTAACTATTTATTACATGTTCCGTCGTCACAATTCTTGTATAAATTGAAGAAATTGCACTTCTTTTCACTTTACGACATGTTTCAGGCCATCATCAGGAAAGTCATTTTACAGTAACACTCTACTTTTCTGCTATTATTCCCTTACATTGGTCAATGTTTACAATTTTTACAATTCTTAAAGGAAAGGCCATATGTGTCGTTTGTAGTATTATGCCAGCTGTAATTCACACATGCAAGCTTAAAATATTATAAAAAATATAAAATAAGATAGATAATTATTATTGTTATGAGTACCAGGAATTAATTAAATAATTTTCCTGGGGAGTGAAGCGCGGCCGGCGCGTAAGGCTGACAACCTTACCGCCATCTTTGAGCCGAGTGTCTAGATAATGTGGGACCCTCAAGGTCTAACAACCCTATGGGCCTTCATAGCCTGTTACAGGGATAGTTTTACTTTTTTTTATCAATTAAATCTCTCTTGTTTGTAACTTTTAAATATCCTTCACTTTATACAGGAATTACGACGACGGAACATGCACTAAACTTTATAAGGGAGCTGCAGTGTGTTCTTGTTAGATAATTTTATTACGTTTCGTCACATATGGCGGCGGTGAGAATTTCACAGCAATTAAAACAGAATTCCTATTTACAAGAAATATAACATTAAAACCAACAAACCAAGAATGTAAAATTGCTACCCTTGACTCTAAATGGATCAGATGATACAAACAGAGGCCAAGAGAACGTTAAGACCTCAGTAACTGAAAACCGGCATTAATACAAGTATAAGGCTCTACAGTGGTCTGGAACGATGGTCCAAAATTACGTGTAAAGAAACAAGTACAAGTCTTAAAATTGGCATAACATTTCAAACGTTAAATTTACTTCGAGAGAAAAATACTGTTCAAGAACGGCACCTTCGACATGTTACCATGGGTATTCCCCGGAGGTTGTCACGCAATGAGTCGTTGAGAGGAGAATGTGCTGTCCTTATCATAAAGCGGGCATTCGATGACAGACTCTAGAAGAATAAGGTGATTTCCCACAGAGAGTTGGGACTGCATGTCGGATCACCGCGCAACACATGTCCGTGAGTCAAGCGAGTGTGACCCATTCGTAAGTGCGTAACGCTTCCTGGTGGAGCTGAAGGAGGGCTGCCTGAACGGACAGCATGATGTCACTCTATATGGATGTTTGTCGCGCCAGCACAATGCGATACCCGCGAACATCACTGCCCAGAGATCGCTCACATGACAAATTCCCATACAAGGCAGCTTCCCCTGTTTCCAGACACTCAGCAAAAGGTGTTATATAGATGGGGCACCTGATGTGACATACTTCATAACAACCGGTTGGTCCCTTGTGTGTCCATGGAGACTGCGAGACATTGAGTTGGTCCGAGCAAAGAAAATGACAGTGCACTTATTGATGTCGGATGAAAACAACTCAGTATATGGCATAGCATTCGGTAGTGTAAACGCTGGTGCAACCTTGGAAGGGAAAAAATAAAAGTCTGACCTCCATAGATAAATAGAGCTTCTGTGTTTATCTTTATGACATTTATACTTCCGACCAACTGTGTCAAAACTGAGGCAGTTAATCGGCGGCTTTATCACTACCAAAACCAGGATCCAAACCCAGGATAGCCCATGTGTGAACTGTGGTACATGAACTAGCAGTGACGCAGGTTCATTCCCGAAAATTTCGCTGTTCCGTGCCAGTCATCTTTACGCAACCGCTCCAAGCTCATGAATTTTTACAGGCTTGTACCATAGATCCATCTTGACGCCGCAGCACCAAAGGAGTTTATATCACCTCACACCTCCGACTAAAAGAGACATTATCTTCGCCTAATAAATCATCATTATCAACATAAACCAAAAGCTGACAGGCCGCAAATCCTCTCTGTTAACTCTTCCTGATGTACGTCGGCCCCCATACTGACATTCTAAAGCATTCAAAAGCAATGACAATAAAACATCTCCTTGCCCAGATCATTCTGAATAGAAAATACTTCGGACAAACGTTTCAATATACGCGGACTTTACTCCAGGTATCGGTTACATGCACTGGAATTAGCCTAACTAGTTTTATGGGTAGGGTGTACCAACTTCAGTGAGGTAAAAGTAAAGCTGTCCCTGTACTTCGACTAATTAAACAATACATCATGAAGGCATATGACGGAATGGATGTATAGATCCATATTTTCTTGACGTCGACACTAATTGGAGATGAATGGTCAGCTTCACGCTCCGGCCGCTTTACCACTAGGGAAAGAGCCCCCGGTACCCATTGGATAGGAGGTTGGGTGGACCCCATAGCCGGTCTGGGCGACATGGAGAAGTGAAAATTCTTGAACCCAACCGACCCCTCGGTTGTCAAACCCGTAGTCAGTCTCTATATCGACTGCGTAATCTTCACTGATATTATTGTAAAATACTTCTTTTCTATCTGATTCATAGCCCTCTTCAAATCTGTAAATAGCTGACGTAATGGTCCAAGACACTTCCATTTCCTCTGCAGTATCTGATGAATGTGGGGCTAACTTTGCTTTCCGGGCAGGACGGTGTGGCGACAGCGCTTCGGGCTTGCGTTAAAGCGATGTCCTAAGGCCGCGCCATAGCTCAAACGGTTGGTCGCTGGCTTCCCACCGCGGCGGCCCGGGTCTGGTCAAGTTGGATATGTGGTGGAGAAAGTGGCGCTGGGGCGGGTTTTCTCCGAGTACTTCGGTTTCCCCTGCCAATCTTCATTCCACCAAATTCTCCATCATCATAATCAACCGGGGCAGGTACAATAGGCCAATCAGTGGCCGCCGTGCCGAGTGGACCCAGCTGGACTCCACCTCCCACTAAGCGAATTTTAAAGCGATGTCCGGTTTAAATCTCGGACAAGACACCCACTATCCTCAGTTTTCGTGGTTTTCCTGTATGCTTCCGGGCAAACGTCGGGACAGAATTCCGATTAGGCCATGACAGTTACGAGTATTTTCGAAATCATTATTGATGACTCATCTTACCATACCCCAAAAAGTTTGTTTTCGTTTGCCAAAAGTCCACGAGACATTTTATAAGACCTCCTTATTCAATGCCATCCACAAGTATCGCAGAACTGAACCGTTTCCACGAAACCAGGACCTTATGATCAGGTCACTGAATTAGGCATACAATAGTTACATCTGATGTTACTGATTGGTGTATTTAAACTCCACCCAAATAAATTGATGATTTGAGACTGTTCATATATTAAACAAATCATACTATAACTTTAAAATAATCAGCCTAAATTCATGTAGTAATATTTCCTCCATATTAGCCCTTTGCAATGTTCATACGTCACCAGAAATTTGTTTCTGTTAACACGTTGCACCCATAGGTGGGAACAGCTTTTAAGAACTTTCCACTTACTGGAATTTTCACATTAAGGAACATAAACACTGTGGTTGTCAGTGGAAGCGTCCAGAAATCTTGTTACAGTGAAATGCCGCTTGAAACTGTAGAGCAAGTAGGTCGCAGACTCTGGCGACGGCGACCTGCATCATGAGTAAGGACAACGAAACAAGTTTCACTAGAATCTCAGATGTGTACAAGTTTTCATACCTGTTCCTGACGTATTTAGCGTCGCTTTCAATTGCTGAGATTGTATTTCGTGGAATGATAAGACAATCAGTGAAATGCGCACTAGAAAAGCTGTAGGATGATCGGATTATATCCTATTTTGAGGTATTTTTTATTGCTACTGGGGTGGGACTAAGTCCCCTTGTACTGCGGCCACTTCTGGCCTATTGTACCAGGCCAAGATGATAGGTGAGGGTGATTGTGGAGCAACTGGTGGAATGAAGATTGGCAGAGGAAACCGAAGTACTCGGAGAAAACCTGCCCCAGCGCCACTTTGTCCACCACAAATCCCACTTAACCAGACCCTGGATCGAACCCGGTCCGCCGCGATGGGAAGCCAGAGACTAACCGCTCGAGCTATGGCGCGGCCTATTTTGAGGTACGTGCGTGTATATATTGACGGAATTCGCCTCAAATGAATGAGGAAAAAGAGGAAATACGTCGTACCTCAGTCACGATAACCAGCTTCCGGCTATTGTGCTTAGTCCTTATTATCTAAGTTGCAGTGTGTATGTGTTTGTTTGTT